TTCACTCCGACCTCCGGCCCGAGAAATCAATTCGCCGACGTTAATTTTCAATTTCCTCGAACGTCGTAAACGAGAGCTTTGCTTTTCCCTGCCTCCTGGTATTCTCCTTGACGCGTCACGGCAGAGAAGAAAGCGCGATCTCGATTTAGGAAACATTACGCATGACGCGGAGAAGGACGAAGCCGCGCTTTGTTCGCGGAAGTTCGACGAGCTTCGAGAGTCGCCGCGCGTTCTCGAAGTATAAATAGAATTCGCTGTGCTACGCCGCGGATATCCTCGATATAGTGCCACTCTGGACGTTCTTGGCTGCGCGCAAACTGTCAGTGTTGAAAGAACCCGAGGTTCGCGGTCATCACGAGAGGAACAGAAAGAAAAGCGAATTATTAAACACGTAATTATTAAACACGTGGACGCATCGAGATCCACTTGGGATGAACACTCTCGACTGTTCTACGCAGGAAGCTTAAGAGAGATGTATCAGAATCGTGCGAACGTACAGGGAGCATTGAATCTGTCTTAAGTAAAGAAGCTGAGAGGTAGAGAGACAAAAACTGTACGATTGAACGCGACAATTTGGTGTTTTGCTGCTTTCTTTTTCTTTTGCAGCAACAGACACAATATAGCATACACGAAGAGGATGGTTTTGCTGAAGTGTTTGAAAATTTAGCTAAATACAAATTTGTAAATAATTACTAGAAAAATAATAAGTAATTCTCTAGGATGCTCAAATTGGTTGTTAAAATGTCAATACTTTTTTGCAGCATTTAGTCATCATACTTGAGATTAAATTAATTCCTACGTAATTAATTTGGATGATCCAATAAAATTTTCAATTAATTATTTTCAGATCTGTATCGAGCTAAATTTTTCGATACTTCAACGAAATCGTTCTTTCCGTGCAGCGGTCAATTTATCTCTATTTTAAAGGTCAAACAACAAGTATGTAATGATTCGCCATGTTACATTGGGTCCAGTCCAACAAGAGACACAGATTACACAATGTAGCACAATGAATCGTTACATCCTTATTGTTTGCCAATGTTAAACAGGGATGAAATGATGATTTTTGACACGTTGTGTTACACTGTGCCTATTGCTGGAAAGCACTTATGGGGTGTTTTCTATTTGGTGACACAAATCGACACAACTGCCGTTCTATCTTTGTTACTCTCTATGTCAACAAAGATAGAATGATGTTCGCGCCGACTTATGTCACTAAACAGAAAGCGTCCACTGTTGTGTCATCTGCGTCTCTCGCTAGAAAGCACCCTGTAGTAAACGAGTCGATCGTATTATCTTCTTCTCAAGTCGCCAAGGCGAACGTCATCGGACGACATCCGTGGGAAATGACGCGAGCATGATTCTTGATTCTCCACGTTGACCAGCTCTCTTCTGCGAAAGTGCATCGAAGCAATTCCTTCGGAGAACGCCGCGTCGTTGCAACTTCTTTCTGACATTCGAGTTTCGTTCGTGCTGCTGGAGGTATCCCACAAGGCAAATTCGTCGAACTTGTAGAGTTTTGCAGGAGTTAACATCTTCAATGGCTTGAGACGAGTGTTTCATCAAGTCCGTTCTCAGCGAACACTTGCGAATACTTAGTCCTCGTCATTGGATCGATAGCCGCGGTGACGGAAACGAGAGAGAGAGAACGGGTTAAATGTCCGACGGGACGCGTTCTCAAGTCAGACGAGCGCAATTGATTTCGCTGACGTTCGCGGAGTTCGGCAACCCGCTGCGGGCACCTTGGACGGACTATATACGAGTATCAAACGTGACGAAAACAAGGGGACCAAACGCAACGTGCATCGCGCGCACACGCATCTATTGTCCGCGGCGCACGAGAGTCACTTAGCACGTGCACACGTCGACGAACATCGATTGAAGTTTCTTTCTTGCTGCCGAGAGAGACGGAACCAGTGTTGTTATCATCAAACGACGACAAATCACTGCAAATGTCTATACTGCACAATTCAGATTAAATTACATCAATTTAAATTAACCCTCGAGTAGGCGCTTGGGGCAGAGGTACTTTTTCTTCTTCTTTTTCTTTCCCCTAGGATGGTCTTCGAATCCATCTAAAGAGGATCACAAGTCACGATATGAATAAAAGACGAATCGAACGATCTAGTGTTTAGTCTCCTCGTGAAAGGGAAACTTCAGAGTCATTTCGTAACGATCTAGCTGTGATTTTGTGCGCTTATTTAAGGGTTTACTACATTAATAAGTTTAGATTAATTAAATTAATTTAGTTTAGATTAAATTGATTTATTGTAAAATATATATAGATGTATTATTCCAACGTTTGACTTTGACAGTAATAGCCGTTTCTTTGTGTCTACAAGAAAATTCATGAAAATATTTCCCTCCGATTTTAATAAGCTTTGAATTGTTGTTTTCTAAACAAAAATAAGGGACATGTGTTTTTTTTTATAAAAGCCTAATCGCGCCTTTAGAGAGTACAATGTCTCTTTGAAGAAAATTGATTGCTGTCTTATATATATTCGCTTAAAAAAAATTAATTTTCTTCAAAGAGATATTGCATTAAAAATGCGATTTTGTTCTTATAAAAAAAACATGTCCATTTTATATATTTTTGTCTAGAAAACAACATATTTAAAGCTCATCAAAATCGAAGGAGGACACTTTCTTTGTTAGTTGATTCATTCATATAAATCCTATTTCTAATCTCTTAATATTACAAATTAATTTAATTAACTTAAGGGGTTAGGTTCACCTGTAAACCTTCAAAAAACACATTTTTGGGTTTTGACATTTTCTTAAAATACATAATTTCAAAAATATTCTCTGAAAATTTCAAGTCAATAAAAAAAAATTGATGGAGTTATAAGAATTTTAAGATTTATCGATTTTGGAGCAGATATAAAAAGCGTCGTATACAAAGACAGTCCCTTTTTTATAGATGTGTATGTATTCTATGTCAATGTAAATACAGAGATTAGGTAAATACAAGATTACGTGAAGCTGTAAACAAAATAATAACGGTCTTTCGTTGAGGGAAGAGGGAGAAAGAGAGAGAGGAACAGAAATAGGGGAGGGGAGGAGAGAGAGAGAGAGAGAGAGAGAGAGAGAGAGAGAGAGAGAGAGAGAGAAACGCAGGCATTAGCAGTATAGCAATTTCTGTCGAACAGTACACTCGAACTTAATTTGAAACTTTAAATGCGTTTTTCTCAAAACCGCGTTTTTGAAATCGGACCTAAATATCTCGAGAACCGCTGCATCAATCAAAATTAAATTTTGCTTACTTAATATATAAACTCTAGTACTTAATCGTGACTTTCCTTTTTTTGTTGCATTTTCATTTTTACAGATAAAAAGGGAGCGATTTGGTCAAAAATCAATATTTCAATTTTGAATAGCCGCTATTTTATCACAAATTAATTTTTCGATACAATGAACGATCGAGCACTAGATAATCTGATATATTATCTAAACTTGCCCGAATTTTTTATTTCAAATAAACGAGCTTAAAGCTAGAGTGATCATCGGAAAACGCCTTCTTAAAATGCATGCTGCCGGCAGATCGCTAATATTTCCTTTATTTGTCCATATTTTGCTATAAAAAAATTACTGCATAATCTATAAATATATACATTTGAATATACAGAGTGTCTCATAACTACCGAATTTTTTCTTAAAGACATATTCTTGAAGTAATTTTGAGACGAAAATTCTATTATAATACAAAAATGTCGAGACTACAATAATTTTTTGAATTATAAGCTAACTTTAAATGCTTCTAAGTAAAAAATCATTTTACTTTTAGAGCCTCTATTATTATTTCTGGATTCTTTTGAATATATATTCTAAGACAAAAATTCTAATACAAAAATATCGAGGCTATAATAGTTTTCGAATTACATACTATCTTTAACCAATTATAATTCAAAAACTATTGTAGCCTCGACATTTTTGTATTAGGATTTTTGTCTCAAAATTATCCGAAGAATATGTCCTTAAGAGGAAATTCGATAGTTATTAAACATCCTGTATAAACGTTTAAAACAGTTTTTTCTGACAGATTAAAAAAACATTTCCAGAAGTACACATTTTTTTTCGATCTCACAAGTGAGCCTAACTCTTTAAATAATTTAAATTTAATTACTTAATTTTGGTAAATTAAAATAAATTAATTAAATTAATTAAATTATTTATAAATTTCAAGAAGGAGAGAAAAAATCTAATAGAAAATATCATTTCAAGGCAAAGAATTGAAGCGGTGTGTGGTACATTAAGAAGATTGTTAAATCGTACCGTCAAAATCCCCAGGACACATTTTTTAATTTCGATAGTAAGAGATAAGATTCTCAAATAGTTTTCAAATCAAATAAAGAATAATAATCATTCAAACAAAAAGTAAGGAATAAAAAGCAATAAGATAAGAGGCCAAGTGTACTCGAGAAAGTTGTCCGACGGAAAATCGGAAGACAAATTCACTCGGATTCGATGAAATTAATGAAGGAACGACTTGCGTGAGGAGTTTCTGAGAATTCCAAGAGGCACGTTTCGCGAAAACTGCTGTGATCGGCGCATCGAGGACATCGCAAATATCACCATCTTCGCTCGCAGGGCTCCTCGTTGAATCAAAGAGGAGATCGAGGCAAGATCCCTCTCCGATAGCCCTGCCACTTCCACTGTCCACATCCGTCGACGGGTTGCCGGGTATCGGCGCGGTATGCGCTGCGCACGATGGCAGTGCGCTAAGTGAGCGAGTGCGGGCAACGACGCGAGTCGTAATACAGTACAGGTCGACATGGCAGCGGATTACGACGAGTGATCGGCCACGACGGGTGGACTGTGGCGGGCGGAGAAGGTGCGAGAGAACGCGGCGATAGACTAGGGAAAGAGTCGTGGAAGGAACGCGGATTTGCGATTTGGAGAACGGAGAGTGCTCAACGAGATAAAGTCGCTCTCTCACGAGCGAGGAGAGCGGCTGTCGCGCCTCGCGCCGCGTCGCGTCGCGTCGCGTCGAGCGCGCTCGAAAATAGAACGCGGTTGCGAGCGAAGCGAAAGAGAAGAGAGAAGCGGGCCACAAGGGGAAGAGCTGAGAGAGAGAGAGAGAGAGAGAGTGACTGACGGTTTAAGCCGGTCGTAGGAATGTCGCGAGTGTCGCTCAACAAGTCGCAGTACGGCTCACGTCGCGTCCGCAAAATCAGTTCGGTACGGTTTGTATGGATACATGTTAATTATGGGGGGAGCGAAAGCATGGCCGTGTGGTCGTTCAGTTAAGTGCGAATCCGCGTATCATCTTCCTCCTTTCCTTTCTTCATACCTGCTGTTTAGTCTCCGCTCCTTATTTCATCCGTTTACCTTGACAAAAATAATCATGAATACTTTCTAGCGAGAGGCACAGTGAATCATTTCGTCTTTATTTGACAGGCTGTAATGATTCATTGTATTGTACTATGGTATTTCTTTATCTTTTGTTAGAAAACGTCCTGTCTACCTGAGCGACCCTCGTCCAACACAATGGTCAAAGTGTCAACATTGAACAAAGTAAGATTTAAAAGATCCGAAGGACTAGCGAAACATCTGTTGCATCCCTTTAAAGAAACATCCCGTTAATTCTTTCGCTCCAAACAGATGGATTTTTGTCGTGGAAATGTGTCAGGTCTTATCGTACGCTGGAGTACCTATAGAAAATTCCCACGATACACGTTTCGTATTCCAACTCGTTGCTGAACGTTATTGATTTTTGCGTAACCGGACGTGCCAGTAATTCGCAGCGTAATTTCCGTGTCGGCCGCGCCGGAACAACGATCGCTATTTACGTGTATATATTACGTGTATATAATCATCGCGCTAGCGAAGTGCATTTTGCATGGCTCCTCTGTCGAAGGATGGAAAGACGACACGTGACTCAGCCTTGACAAGCCTTGACGGGGCCGGTTGATCGGCGGGAGACCAAGCGCCAATAGTTGTACTTCTAGTACGCACGCACGTCTCGCGTATACTTTGCATTATGACAGTGCGTAAATTGCACGTACGCGTCCACGCGCGCGAGTGTATTAACGATGGTGTGTGTTAACAAGGTCGAACGAATCGCGAGGCGTAGCGCAAATTTTTCGCCGAGAGAGAAAGAACGAAGCTTCGCGCCTCCCGTCGTCGGGTGGCGCGATCGGAATGACAGCGCGCGCGATCAGCTGATCAGCTGTGGCCTTCCTTTCGGCCGAGTCCAACTCTCGTGTCAAGCACGCGCGCGCGCTGCGTTTAAATTCGTCTTCGCGGCCGCGTGACACGGCGAGGTCGTTGATCCAAATTCATTAGCGTTGGGGCCTTCGTGGCTCGCGGTGAGATGTGAAGAAGCGCGCATGCAGATGAGACCGCGATGATGATCTGATCGGGAATGGAAATCAACATTTTGCACAATTTTCCAAGCAAAGTATCCCGCGAATAACTTTATTCTGCTGAGAATTAAATAGTTCATTTGATTACATTAATTTAGTTTGTTTTATCGAAGAATTAATTTATGTATTTAAA